ATAAAAGGCCTGGTCCTGCTTAAATACACCTCCTGCAATCAGCCTCAGGTGATGGCCTGATTGCAGGAGTGAGATTCTGGCTGCTGAGAGCACCCGCTGGCCAGCCTTGGTACTGCAGCCCACAAGGCAGGTGAGTCCTACCACCACTGGCGAGTCCATTCCTGACAGTGAGGATGATAAGGATCTGTGCCATGCAGCTAATCCATCCTTGTGAGGGATATTACTATACAGGGATACTACATCCATAGTCACTAGAAGTGTATTAGATGGTAATTGCTGTATGTTGTTGATCTTGTTCAGAAAGTCAGTTGTGTCTAGCAGGAAACTAGCAGTATTCTTGACTAACGGTTTTAAAAAATTTTCTACAAAGCCTGAGATTTGTTCGGTGAGTGTGTTCATACCAGGTCACCAGGTCACTGATAGTAGGAGGTATAGATGTTGGGTTGCTTTTATGTTTAGGTTGTATCCAAAAGGTCTGCTCTTGGTGTAGCTTCTGAAGTTTTTTTTGCTTCCCATTCATGGCAAGTTTTTGTGTTCGTCTTTGTAAAATTTCCAATTCATTCTTGATTTGGTTAATGTTGGTAGGGTCCAATGATGTTAAGGTTTCAAACAAAGACTGCTTTTGTATCCTGATAATTACCCTTTTTCCATACAGTTTGTGAATGTTGGCGAAACAGGACAGAAGTTGCAAACAAGGATGAATTTGCACAGACATACCATCAAGGAACATAAAGAAGATGACCTTTGCACACCTGTGGGACACCATTTCGCACAACCAGACCACACTTTGGGAGACCTCAATATTTTAGTTCTTAAAGGAAATTTCAAATCCATTCAGGAAAGAAAAACTTTTGAACTAAGAATGATAATTCTATTTGACAAGAGATAACGGCCTGAATTTGGACACGGGATTCCTCAATCATTATCCAACAGTTTCATGACTATCAGCTCAAGCATGACTGCCTCTGAGTGTTATCTTCCATCCCGACTTTGCTTTTGCTGTGTCTTCTCTGTTTTTTTTTTTTTTCCCTATCCCCTACATCTCTTCTAACATTCTGCTAAATCTTTGTGTTCCGTACTGCTTAGACCTGAAGAAGGGGACATTCCCTGAAAGCTTGTCCTCAAAATTGTATGTTAGTGCAAATAAAAAAAGTATCACAGACAGTACTCAATTGTTTATAAGGCAAAAGAAAATGTATACATTTTGCAAAATAAATTCTTAGGAAAATGTGTTAGTTTTTCCTATATAACTCTAATATAATTTGAAACAAAGAAAGTAAAATGGCTGATTGAGGTTGAGACCCTTCAAATTCCTGAAAAGCAGACTTCATTAATATAATTATTTAAAGGTTTAGCTCTCCATTCCAGCTTACTGGGCATGTAAAAGGAACACGACACACCAATAAAACCTTGTCGTGCCCCTTTAATGGCAGTCAGTTAAGTCGGCTAGTAAAGACCAGGCTTAGAACATGTTTTACTTAACAGCATCTCTAGTTACGTATTTTTGTTATATTTTCTAATATTATTGTCATCTGTATCTGTCATTACTTTTATTAAATGTTATACTTATACCGTATTTTCCGGGGTATAAGACGACTTTTTACCCTTGAAAATCTTCTCAAAAGTCGGGGGTCGTCTTATACGCCGGTATACGGCATGCTGACACTTTTTAGGGGGGCGGTGCGGTGCCGCCGCCGCCCCCCCCCCCCCTTCCAACGGAAGTGAAACTAAGTACAGGGGTGGGCAGGGGCTTCTGTTTCTTACCTGGCTCCGGTCCCACGACGATCGGGTCCAGGAAGCGCAGCTGCTCCTTCCTTCAATTCGGCCACTGGATGTTCGTGCGGCTGCTCGGCTCCGCCTCCTCACCGGTGATTGGCCGCCAGAACTGTAGCTCGGGAAAGGCACACAGGCGGCCAATCACTGGGGAGGAGGCGGAGCCGAGCGGCCCCGCGAAAATCAAGTGAAGGTAAGTGTGCCGTGCACAGGTGCTGCTGCAACCATATATGCTTGCTGCAGCAGCACCATACTGAACAGGGGTCAGCAAGTGTCAGTGGGAGGAATAGTGCCCCATCATTGGTGTCACTGATACCAATGATGGGGCATTATTCCTCCCACTGACACCGACGATGGGGCACTTTCCCCCCCACTGACACCAACGATGGGACACTATTCCCCCCCCACTGACACCAACGATGGGGCACTATTCCACCCCCCCACTGACACCAATGATGGGACACTATTCCCCCCACTGACACCAATGATGGGGCACGATTCCTCACACTGACACCAATGATGGGGCACTATTCCTCCCACTGACGCCAATGATGGGGTGCTATTCCTCCCACTGACACTAATGATGGGGTGCTATTCCTCCCACTGACACCAATGATGGGACGCTATTCCTCCAACTGACACCAATGATGGGGTGCTATTCCTCCCACTGACACCAATGATGGGACGCTATTCCTCCCACTGACACCAATGATGGGGTGCTATTCCTCCCACTGACACCAATGATGGGGTGCTATTCCTCCCACTGACACCAATGATGGGACACTATTCCTCCCACTGACACCAATGATGGGGTGCTATTCCTCCCACTGGCACCAATGATGGGGTGCTATTCCTCCCACTGACACAATGACTGGGCACTATTCCTCCCACTGATACTAATGATGGGGCACGATTCTTCCCACTGGTGTGTATTGGAAGAGGGGTAGTCTTATACGGCGAGTATAGCCCAAACACTACATTTTAACAGGAAAAGTAGGGGGGGTCGTCTTATACGCCCAGTCGTCTTATACGCCGGAAAATACGGTAAGTATTTGTGTGATCTCTGTTTGCACATATCGAATCAGCTCGAACTTGCAATAACTGTCTCACCTCAGAGCTGCCAATGCGCATGCATCTCATCTGATCATTGGCCATGCCATCATGAAGGGACCCATGATGGAAACAGCATCTTTAGTTAAGTATTATCTGTATCTGAATACAACCCCAAACATGTAACCGTGATAAAACAAATGCTGTGCCAGCCATCTCCCATTCCTGCAAGGTTCACAGCCTGAGTACAGGGATCTCCATATTCCCACACAGCACACACTGCTACGATCTGCACAGTGTATATCTGGCTACTGCAGCTAAGCTGCCATTTCAAGCAGGGAATTTTGCAGGTCAGAACTACAACACAGTAGCCAGCTACACACTGTGCAGATTGTAGCTGTGTGTAAGGGAATCTGATATCAACTACAGTGTATGCTGTGTGGGGAGGTGTGCTCAGGTTGTGTACCATTCAGAGATAGAAGAAGCTCTTCCCAGTACCCAGCCAGCGATGACCCCTTTCCTCCCTCCTGCCAGTGGTGACCCCTGTCCTCTCTCCTGTCAGCACTGAACCCTGTCCTCTCTTCTACCAGTGGTGAACCCTGTCCTCCCTCTTTGCCAGGGGTGACCTCTGTCCTCCCTTCTCCCAGGGAGAAAACCTCACTATATGATCTAATCACGTAACAAGCCTAAACATGTTTTACATTTTTCTTTTACCTTTTAGAGGTTTCTCAGGAGATGGCTTTGTGGCTGACTGCAGGGTTTTTTGAACAATGCTAGAGTGCGAGTTTGTCCTCAATGCAAGAGGCCCAGCCTCTACATCTTTATACTTTTGTTAGGACAGACAGTGTTTAAATCTAGTTAAATGTGATAATGAAGATCTACTGTACGTGCACAGTATAGACAGAGTTAATTATGGCAAACACAGCCACTGAGCCCCCTATAAAAAAAAAGAACTACCTATGATTTTTTCTTGCTGGAGGGCCCAGCATTGAACCTTTAAAAAATGTAATTTGCAGTTTGTTTGTTTTTTGTAAATAACATTTTTATTGAGTTTTCACATGTATAAATGTACATGAAACTTTGAAAAAAAAAAACTGAAAAAAAAGAGAAAAAAGAAAGGGGTTCATCGATGATAAAAACATGCAAGGAAACAAAAAAAAAAATACAATGTCAATGAAACAACAGTGGACAAATAAGCAAGTCAGTACATTTTGCGCACATTGAGCAGAGATATAGGCATCCCATGGATTCCATACAGTTTCAAATATGGATACAGAACTGGCATGGAGAGCGGTTAGGTATTCCATTTGTCTAATGTCTGTAATTAGAGATGAGCGAATTATTCAAAAATTCGATTCGGCTGATTCGCCGAATTCGCGGAATAAATTCGATTCGATGCGAATATATTCGCTGCGAATTTAACTTATAAAAAGGGTGTTTCTAGGCTTCATATTAGTGCAGAACACTGCGAATTTAACTTATAAAAAGGGTGTTTCTAGGCTTCATATTAGTGCAGAACACTGTACCTTTAATTTAAATGCCCTTGGAGTCTGCTGGGGAAGAGAAATAATACTGTCAGTCAGTATGACATGCAGATGAGTGCCGTCGATCTTAGAATCACCGCACACTTCACTCATTTGGGCAGTCACGGGGCCAAAACCAGAGTGTGGAGCCACAGTGTGGCGGTGGAGGAGCAGCAATGGGAGGCCATGCAGCACCCTATGACAAAATGGAACCCACCAGCAGTGTGAGGAGACCTGAAAGTGGCACATGGCAGAGTGTGGCGATGGAGACAGCAGCAATGGGAGGCCGTACAGGGACCCATGACACACTCTGGACCTGGCAGCAGCATGAGGAGGCGGTACAGGCGCCCATGACAGATTACGGGCCTGGCAGCAGCATGAGGAGTCGGTACGGGGGCCCATGGCAGATTACGGGCCTGGCAGCAGCAATGGGAGGCCATACAGCACCCTATGACAAAATGGAACCCACCAGCAGTGTGAGGAGACCTGAAAGTGGCACATGGCAGAGTGTGGCGATGGAGACAGCAGCAATGGGAGGCCGTACAGGGACCCATGACACACTCTGGACCTGGCAGCAGCATGAGGAGGCGGTACAGGGGCCCATGACAGATTACGGGCCTGGCAGCAGCAATGGAGGCCATACAGCACCCTATGACAAAATGGAACCCACCAGCAGTGTGAGGAGACCTGAAAGTGGCACATGGCAGAGTGTGGCGATGGAGACAGCAGCAATGGGAGGCCGTACAGGGACCCATGACACACTCTGGACCTGGCAGCAGCATGAGGAGGCGGTACAGGGGCCCATGACAGATTACGGGCCTGGCAGCAGCAATGGGAGGCCATACAGCACCCTATGACAAAATGGAACCCACCAAAAGTGTGAGGAGACCTGAAAGTGGCACATGGCAGAGTGTGGCGATGGAGACAGCAGCAATGGGAGGCCGTACAGGGACCCATGACACACTCTGGACCTGGCAGCAGCATGAGGAGGCGGTACAGGGGCCCATGACAGATTACGGGCCTGGCAGCAGCATGAGGAGTCGGTACGGGGGCACATGGCAGATTATGGGCCTGGCAGCAGCAATGGGAGGCCATACAGCACCCTATGACAAAATGGAACCCACCAGCAGTGTGAGGAGACCTGAAAGTGGCACATGGCAGAGTGTGGCGATGGAGACAGCAGCAATGGGAGGCCGTACAGGGACCCATGACACACTCTGGACCTGGCAGCAGCATGAGGAGGCGGTACAGGCGCCCATGACAGATTACGGGCCTGGCAGCAGCATGAGGAGTCGGTACGGGGGCCCATGGCAGATTACGGGCCTGGCAGCAGCAATGGGAGGCCATACAGCACCCTATGACAAAAATGGAACCCACCAATAGTGTAAGGAGACCTGAAAGTGGCACATGGCAGAGTGTGGCGATGAAGTCAGCAGCAATGGGAGGCCGTACAGGGACCCATGACACACTCTGGACCTGGCAGCAGCAAGAGGATGCGGTACAGGGGCCCATGGCAGAGTGGCGAAGCGTAAGCAGCTTAAATTGAAGGCCATACAGAGGCCTATGTTAAAAATAATAACATGTTTGGGGCATGACTCATGGCGGATTTAGTCAGTTGTGTCAGGAACTGGTGGTTTGAAATCCAGACTAATCCACGCCTGATTCATTTTTACAAACGTGAGTCTCTCCACACTTTGGGTGGACAGTCGTGTCCTCCGCGGAGTTACAATACCTCCTGCCGCACTAAACACGCGCTCCGATGCCACGCTACTGGCCGGGCATGACAGCCTTTCAAGGGCAAATTCAGCTAGTTGGGGCCAAAGGTCAAGTTTCGTTGCCCAGTAGTCAAGGGGATTGTCTACCTCGGTTGGCAGGGTGCTGTCCAAGTAGGCCCAAGCCTGTTGTTTGAGGTCCTGCTCCAGGTCCACCTGATGCTGCTGCTGCTGCTGCTGCGGCTGGTTAGTAGTTTCCTCACTGCGCTGGTGAAGAAAGCTACTCATCATTGACTGCAGACTGAGGCAGCCGCTGCTGGTGGAGCTGCCACTGCTCCTACCACCCCACCCCTCCCCCTGCTGCCATGGCAGCGGAACGCGAGCGCACAGGGCCCACAGTGTCTGAGGATGGACGTTGGCGCAGAAAGGCAGAGACCAACTGACTACATAGGTGGTTTTTATAGTACGTTATTTTGGCCTCCCTCTCAGCAGGTGTGAAAAAGGCCACCATTTTTGAACGGTAGCGAGGGTCCAACAAGGTGGACAGCCAAAAGTCATCCCTCTGTCTGATGGTTATTATTCGGCTGTCGCTACGCAAGCAACCGAGCATGCTATGGGCCATTTGTGCCAAGGAATGCGAGGGACTCCCTGCCTCCATCTCCACAGCATACTGCCACAGTGCGTCTGGGTCCTCTGTCTCCTCCTCCTCCTCTACCAGATGCTCCTGCTCCTCCACTCCTGTCCGCTGAATGGAAAAACCACCCATTTCACTCAATAATTCCTGAGCACCAATGTCCTCCTCTACCTCCTCCTCTTCTTCCTGTCCTGCCCCCACAGGGGTCATGTGGCGTTGAGATCTGTGCGCCACGTCTACCGCACCCTGACCAGCCATTGTTAACAGCATTTGTTCCAGGACGTGCAACAGAGGAATGACGTCGTTCATCCCATAGTCCTGCCGACTCACGAATAGCGTGGCCTCCTCAAAGGGCCTGAGCAAGCGGCAGGTGTCACGCATGAGCTGCCAATGGCTGACATCTAAGTTACACAGGGGAGTACCTTTATCCGCTTGTAACATCAGGAAATCGGTGATGGCCTTTCGCTGTTCGTAAAGGCGGTCTAACATATGTAGGGTTGAATTCCACCTTGTTGCAACGTCGCAGATCAGGCGATGCTGTGGAATTCCGTTCTGCCGCTGCAGCTCAAGGAGGGTGTGCTTTGCGGTGTAGGAATGGCTGAAATGCATGCAAAGTTTACGTGACATTTTAAGGATGTCTTGCAGTGGGATGGTGGATTTTAGGAACCGCTTGACAACCAGATTGAACACGTGAGCCATGCATGGCGCATGGCACAACCTTCCTTGACGCAGAGCAGACACCATGTTCTTTCCGTTGTTGGTCAACATGGTTCCGATTTTCAGTTTGCGCGGAGACAGCCATCTGTCGATTTCTCTGTTCATTACACTCAGAAGTTCCTCCCCTGTGTGACTACGTTCGCCAAGGCATACCAGGTGCAGCACAGCGTGACACCGTTGCGCCCTGCACATGTGATATGCCGGTCAGGTAATGGGACTTGGCACGGGGTGGCGGCTGAGGACACGGCGGAAGAAGAGGTGGTAGAGGCGGACATCTTTGCTGGACCAAGGACGTGCAAACGTGGAGGCAAAAGCGGCGTGACCTGTCCAAGTTGCTGGTGCGGCTGTGCCGGCACCACGTTCACCCAGTGGGCTGTAAATGACATGTACTGTCCCTGACCGTAGTTACAGCTCCACACGTCGGCGCTGCCGTGCACTTTGGCAGAGACCGACATGCTCAAAGACTGGCCCACCATCTCTTCTACATGTGAATGCAGGGCTGGCACTGCCTTTTTGGCGAAGAAATGCCGGCTTGGCACTCTCCACCGCGGCTCGGCACAAGCCATCATTTCTCGGAAAGGTGCTGAGTCCACCACTTGGAAAGGGAGGGACTGCAGCACCAGCAACTTGGACAGGAGGACGTTCAGCTTCTGCACCGTCGGGTGCGTGCTCGCAAACTGTTGTCTCTTGGAAACGGATTCCAAGAAAGACTGCTGACGGAATCCGTGAAGAGGAGTAGTAGCAGGAGAAGGAGCATCTGAACGAGCGGAAGATGCCAACGAGCGACAACTCCCCTCAGCAGAGGTGTTGGAGCCTTGACTGGCTGATAGAGGGCGATTGACGTTGGGTGACGGAGCAAGTAACGGAGCGGGTGATGGAGCGGGGGCTGGGGCAGGCAGAAACCGCCGTATCTTTATCACGGTTTTCCCAGGCCACTGAATGGCGACGCTGCATATGCTGACGCAACGCTGTAGTCCCAACATGGGCCCCCTGGCCACGCTTGACTTTCTGCCCACATAGTCGACATACGGCTACGTTTACTTCCTCGGGCGGCTTGACGAAAAATTGCCACACCGCCGAGTAGGAAACTTTGCCCCCGCTACTCCTCACTGGCTGACTGCTACTTCCTCCGTGCACACCGGCACCACTACTGGCCGTGGTGGTAGGCTGCAGTGGAGCTGGTGCTCTACTCCGTGGCCGTTTGCCTCCACTGACACTGCTGCGACCCTGCTGCCTCCTGGGCAACCCACCGACTGTTTTGCTCGCTGCCAAGCTGGCACCCTCTTCTCCTGATGATGCGGAAGCAATAGCCTGATGACGACGAGGCTGCCAAGTGTGATCAGCCTCATCATCATCAATTTAGGGTCTCCGCCTCACTACTAGCCCCCTCGGCTGCGTGTGGGTCAGGAGACAGACCTGTCTCTAGACCGGCTACCGAGCCACTCTCCTCGCCAGTACTTCTTCGCCTGGCTGCTGAAGAGGCGGATGTCTCCCCCCGTTCCTGACCGCCCTCTGTTAGCTCTTCCTCACTGTACAGTGGCGCTGAGCCCACAGCATGCGATACTTCGCTTGGTGAGGGAACACCAAAGGACAGGGGCAGGTAGAGGACACGTGATTTCAGTGGGCTTGCTCCCGGGCCATGCCAACTAACGGTTGTGTCTGACGTACACACCGACCGTTGGCTGTAGGTGTCAGAGGTGACCTGGGAAGAGGAAGACGACCGAGCCAACCAATCGATGACGGCAGGGTTGTCGGTGGAGACACGACCGCTGGATGACACCGGGAGCACTGGCCTCTGGCTGCGACTAGTGCTGCCTCGACCCCTTCCTCTGCTGCCACGTCTGCTCGCTCCTGAAACATTGCCTCCTCTGCCACTCCTCTGCGTGTTGTCTGACATAATCTTTAATTCAATAAGCACCCCAAAAATAACGTAACGATTCTGTGTCCCTGAGTAACAATTCTGTGTCCCTGAGTAACGATTCTGTGTCCCTCAGTAACGATTGTCCCTGTGTAACGATTCTGTGTCCCTGAGTAACAATTCTGTGTAACGATTCTGTGTCCCTGAGTAACGATTCTGTGTCCCTGAGTAACGATTCTGTGTCCCTGAGTAACGTTCCCTGTCCCTGTATACCTGAGTAACAATTCTGTGTCCCTCAGTAACGATTCTGTGTCCCTGAGTAACTGTGTCCCTGAGTAACGATTCTGTGTCCCTGAGTAACGATTCTGTGTCCCTCAGTAACGATTCTGAGTAACAATTCTGTGTCTGTCCCTGAGTAACAATTCTGTGTCCCTGAGTAACAATTCTGTGTAAACAATTCTGTGTCCCTCAGTAACGATTCTGTGTCCCTGAGTAACAATTCTGTGTCCCTGAGTAACGATTCTGTGTCCCCCCTGAGTAACGATTCTGTGTCCCTCAGTAACGATTCTGTGTCCCTGAGTAAACAATTCTGTGTCTTCTGTCCCTGAGTAACAATTCTGTGTCCCTGAGTAACAATTCTGTGTCCCTGATAACGATCTGTGTCCCTGTGTCCCTGAGTAACAATTCTGTGTCCCTGAGTAACGATTCTGTGTCCCTGAGTAGTAAACGATTCTGTGTCCCTCAGTAACCCTGTGTCCCTGAGTAACAATTCTGTGTCCCTCAGTAACGATTCTGTGTCCCTGAGTAACGATTCTGTGTCCCTGAGTAACAATTCTGTGTCCCTGAGTAACAATTCTGTGTCCCTGAGTAACGATTCTGTGTCCCTGAGTAACAATTCTGTCCCTGAGTAACGATTCTGTGTCCCTTGAGTAACAATTCTGTGTCCCTGAGTAACGATTCTGTGTCCCTGAGTAACGATTCTGTGTCCCTGAGTAACGATTCTGTGTCCCTCTGAGTAACGATTCTGTGTCCCTGAGTAACGAATTCTGTGTCCCTGAGTAACGATTCTGTGTCCCTCAGTAACGATTCTGTGTCCCTGAGTAACGATTCTGTGTCCCTGAGTAACGATTCTGTGTCCCTGAGTAACGATTCTGTGTCCCTGAGTAACGATTCTGTGTCCCTGAGTAACGATTCTGTGTCCCTGTAACCTGTGTCCCTGTAACGATTCTGTGTCCCTGAGTAACAATTCTGTGTCCCTGAGTGTGTGTCCCTGAGTAACGATTCTGTGTCCCTGAGTAACGATTCTGTGTCCCTGAG